ATAATTTATCGAAGCAACCTTAATATAAGAGTTCATAAATATATTTCTGCTTTGATGCTGAATCTGTAAATTTAGTTTCTTAGAGAGGGAAAGAAATAAAATTGTAGCGAAGTTTTTATTCACGATGGTCGTTTTAATGGCCATGGGAAATTTAATTACTTCAAAGCTGCGACTACTGCGATGGGGAGAATTATATATGTAATGGTATATCACTGTTATATCAGGTCAATTAGTAGCGTGTACAATGCAGAAATCCATGAAGCGAAACTTTGTTAAATTAGTGGATGGTAAATGGCATAAATTGAAGCTATCTATTTGAGTTTCTGTAAATGATCGCAGATTACGTTTTGATGTATACTCAGATTAATACCTGTTTGTATAGTTATATAACTACACGAATAGTGCCACGCATCAAAATTAATTTACAGATATACGTGATATATATACGTTTGTAGAACATATCCTGCCTCAGGTCATTTCTGACAAATTTCGATTTATAAAATTTATCAAAATTTTAAATAATATATTTCTTAATGTTTTGCAGTAATAATAATAGTTAAATCTTAGTTTGTGTGTATTTCGAAAAAGATGACTTAAATTTAAATAAATAATTGCTATAGATAGATTCTTTATTATTAATATAAATTTTCTATTATTTTATTCGCGAAAAGCTTTTCATTTTTAATTATTCGTAATTTGGGAATGTCTACAATAAAAAAAAAATTATTTTTTAAATCAAAAGAAGAGATAATCTATTATAAATGTTTAAAAAAAAAAAGAACTTTAGAATCGTACTTATACTGAGATAATGAATTTGCATGCGATAATGCCCTTTTTATAAAATTATCAAATTGTTGCATCAAACTGATAATAATATCAATTACATTAACGCTTCAAAAGTATAACAAACGTCTTATTGGTACGCATCTTTATCTTGCTCTCACAGGCTCGTAATCTTTTTATTAAGCGCATAAAGAAGCGTTATCTTAGGTACGTAGCGGCGTGTGAATGGTATCGACTTGTACGAAGTCCGTATGAAAAAAAAGGAATGCCATTGTTTATCGAGCCGGACTTCGTATCGAGCTCGGCTTCGTATCAGCAGGATGCAGGATAAGCTCGCTAAAACACGTGTGTGCGCTCGCGCACGCGCGATAACATTGTTTTCACATTGCATTTAAAAACCGTACGGTTTTACGATTTTGTCCACGGACGAATTAGTACCTTAGTCACGGGGTGACTCACGTATCCTTCCGACCGGGGTACCTGTTGGCAAAAGAATCACGTACGACGAGTTTCGTGTTTGCACGAAATCTACGACGATATACCGCGGAACGTTTAACACGATCGCGTCGCTACACAAGCTCCTTCGGCTCCGTTTATCTTTCTCGTGCACGTCCCGTCAACGTTCGGTGTGATGAGAGTTTCATTGCTACACGACGAATTTCGTCTAGGATAGCTCAACGAAGTCGAGGAACAAAGGGAGCTTGTTATTTGAAGTTTTAGACGTTCTATACGATCCTTTTTCTTTCTTATCTCGCGCGCGCACACGGAACTTTTTACTCGGTCAACGACACAAACAAATGTCCTTTTCCTTTTCGGATTCAAGAAGAAAAAGATGAAGATAATTGTTTGATAGTCATAATCAAATTTCTAAAAGTCATAATCGAATTTCTTATTCTTTCACTGCACATTTCGCTTTTGTTAAAAAATAGAATGACATAGATTAATAAAAATAAGATTTTTATATTATATTCTCCATTTTATTATAATACAATTTTTATGGAATCATCAGAAAAACTATATTATAATAGAACATTCGAATTTTTTTATCCTCAAGTACTTTTACTTTCTTAAAATAAAAGAAGTATATGATTTATGTTAATCCGATATATGTATAGATTTCTAAATGTGAAAATTGCATCATGTTATATATCTAAATTTAAAATAAATTTCAATTTAAAGTATTTATTAAAAATATTTTTAATAATATGAATATAAATGTGAATATCAATGAAATATTTATTAAAGTGACATAATGCATTATAAAGATTTATTTCGCATTTTCAAGTAGATTTTCGATGATATTGAGCAGACTGTAAATTATTATGATTTTATTTCTTGGAAATTCATCGCGGATACGTGGAGACGGAGACATTTCTGTATTTTTCCCAAGAGTGCTGATGAATAACGAACGATACGACGAGATTCGATGTTACATCGTAGAAAACGAGAAAAGCGGTAGCACGCAGATAAAACAGTAGCGAAAAGTCGAGAATGGCCTTGAAAAATTTAAAGAACCCGATTCATAAAATATTTTCGGCTCGTATTATTCTGAGTAAGAGTGAAAATTTTAAAAACACACATAAACACATTTATACACAGATACAATTTTTTAACTTTCTAATGTATAATTTTCAGTGTTAAATAATTGTACAGATTCAAATGAAACATTATTGTTAAATATTAATAAAGTGTTATTAATTGAAAAATTTAGTCTTAGGCTTAAAATCTAATTTGTTTGTTAAGTGTTGTTAAATTTTATTGTACATTAAATGAATTTGTATTTTATCTAACTAAATTAATTTTATCTTTCTCTCGTGATTTTAAAATATTCATATCTGAATGATTATATAATAAGATTAAAGGATTCTGTTTTAAATTGTTTGAAGAAGAGATTTGTTAATATGAATTAATTTATTTTCATATCTGATATAATATTTAATTAAATATTGAATACTCTTATAGAGCAAACCTGAAGAGCAAACTCGCGCGTCATAATTATAATACATCCGGATACGCATAACTCGATCTTGTCGATCGTACCACGCTACAATGCCATACAACAATCGATCACCCGCTGGTTCCGGATCGCCTTGTACGCTCCATAATTCTGCGCATACAGCGATATGTATGCGATTGGGTGATACATTTGTCTCGTGGTTCGAAATAAAACAACGAAATAAAACATAACACATAATTATATATTGCGACACGGTATATAATTTAATTTTTTATATTAAACATTTTTAAAGTTACATATGTTATTGAAAATAAATAAAGTGTGTGTATGTGAACAATGTAAAGATAAAGGAATTTGAGATTAGTTGGAAAAATGTGCTAGGACTTCGCGGAATTCTGTTTCAACAGCAAGGGATGTTGCTGAAAAATGTCTGCCTTTATAGGTCAAGGAAAACCTATGATTCTTATGATATCCTATATATATCCCTGAGTGCAACATGATCCGTGACTCACAATGGCGCGAGCGAATGGATCTTGTTAAGCGTTTAAAGGGATTCGAAAGATGCTATACATACAAGTAGAAATATGGCGACGACGATATGCAGGCGCGGGCCTATCGGCGATTCGATTGCCGGATCAGCCTTGACACACTCGTACTGCAGCCGCGTGACGACAAAACGTTACGTGGTTGACCGGTGTCGTGGTGATCGTTCGCGGGTGATCGTGCGCGCTGATTTAACACTGTTAACAAATCTGAAGATTTCAACTTTGCACGAGTGTTTTTCTGAAGTTGTAGAATTATGATCTCACAGCTCAACTCGGTCTCTTTTCGATAAAATTCTGACTAAATTTCAGATTAAATTTCTAGGATTGTGAACATCCTTATAAATATCTTTATCGTAGTATAGAAAATTGATTTCTTAAATCGAAAAATTAGTTTAACTGTAAAATATGTTGTATTTTTTTCTAATAAAATATCTCGAACATGGAGTTCGCGATTAAAAATCGTGCAAAGTACTTTGAAAAAAGACGATTCTGCTATTCGAAATACAACACTAGCTTCCAATTACATGTTTTATTTTTGTATACACTTCTTGTTAGGAAAATTTAGAATCAATTGAGCAATGAAATATTATATCTTTTCAAAGATCCTCCGTTTATTTTTCATGGAGGAGCTTCAAAAATTAGTATGTATACACTTCTATTACGCCGATACTCCCGTCGCTCGGAATCCAATTCAGCGAACCGTAACAACGTATCTGACTTTGATCGTTCGAACGCGTGACGTTGCGATCCGTGCAACACCTTATATCGCACTACATTATCGCTTCGGGCCTCGCATAGACGGGACGCGATGTATACGCCGGCACGGGGTAACTCTACGGCCCGAATTGCCGCGTTAAAAGAAACAGGCCGCGGCCATCTTCGCGCGGCGCAACACAGCGCGAGTAACATGCTCGCGAATTATACATATATAACGCAATCTGAAAATAAAACTGACGTTTAAAATTTTATAACACCTTGACGGGAATGTTGATCAATGTTGCAGCACGGCCGCGATGTTCCTGGTTCGTCGAGGAAAGAGGTCTAACACCTCTTTCCTCGACGTTTTTGATACCTTCATGAATTTAGGAAATAGACTTTACATATTTACATTATGTAAAACCGGTCCCTTCTCTTTCTCTCTCTCTCTCTCTCTCTCTCTCTCTCTCTCTTGAATAAAAGGAATGCACATCTAAAAATAGCTCCATATCGCATCGCTTTATCTTATACAAGGAGAGAGTAGGATGCGGTTGCATAGAAATTGCGACGCCTTATGCTCGCCGCGTGGATGCGCTCGCTTGCGTCATATCGAGCGAATTTTTAATCGCACCGAGTTGTGCGTGAGCTTTTTCGCTTTTTCGCTACCCGCAGAGCGAGCGTGCGGAATGCGAGAGACCGTGAGTTTTACGCCTTCCGCTGGCGAGGAGAGACGCCGCGCCGGGGCTTCCCATAATCTGCATATCGGGTGTCTATCCGGCACGTGCGAAAAAGTCGCAGACGACGGGGCGCGCACGGCTCGCGACTTCGCGCGCGCGCGCACACACACTCTCACTTTATTCCGAACGAGAATCGCGTACGTGCCGGAAACTACGTATATCCGCAGTCACGACTCCGGCGGCGATCCACGAATCGATACGCGAAACGTCCGTAATGTTATACACACAGGATGTGCATGAAAGAGTGTGGGGGAATCGTTCTGCGGTACAACTTCGGATCTGAAATGACTGAGATAATTTTCAGTTGACATACTCATCGTGTTGACTCGACATTTGAACTTTTACATATTTGAAGCTCTGCAATGAGATAAATTATTTTATAAAAGGTGCGCGTGATTTATTTAATATATAACATATGATTTAATTTCCAAATTATTGTTTTCCCAGTTAACTTAATTTTACGTGTATTTATATATTTGCATCTACTTATTACGAGAAATTTTATTTTAAATTTATTTATTTAATGATTTTAATTTCATTAACTATTGCAGTGAATTTGCGAAATAAGCATTGTGTGAAAAAGAAATAAAGTCGCGTTCCAATCCATTTACGTAATTCATAACGCCATTTGTAGAAAAGAGATAATGTCAAAGTATTATAAGTATCAATTAAAATATTAAATCAAAGTATCAAGTTAAACATTATTATATCTTTAATCATGAGATGAAAGACTTGATGAAATCCTATCATGTGCAGGCTGCTTCTATAATTATTTGCTGCAATTTTAAATATTAACATATATTTACAGATGGAGCAGATTTTTATAATAAATCTTTAGATGATTCCAACGTTAAATTTATGTTTCAAAGAAATGCCTGAATGCTCCACATTTTTTTATTGTTAATTATACTACTGCTTACTGTTGCTTTTGAACGTAGCCATCACATAGTCTGACTATTCCATGCATTCATGATAAACGTGAGGAGAGATATGTAAAGGCAAACATTCCATAATTAACTGACGCTTTACCTTTCCCGTTCAGCAACCAAAATAACCGCTAGCGTGTACGTAAGTATATCGTGATTAATTTTACATTTACTACACAGAGACGGATAATTTTTCGGAGCATAAAGTCTAAAATAATGTGTTACATTAATTTTCACACAGACCGTTTCTATTCATGGAATAAAGTACAACCTTCGGAAACGAGCTTATAGCTGTTATGCGGGAGATTTTTCTGAGTATACCGTAACCTAAGTGTGCTTGCAGCGCATCGCCATCATCACGCATTTCTTTCGTGCAATTCGTCGCACGCAACGCACAATGCAACGCGATCGCGTGTCGTTTCGCATGCCGATTTTATTTCCGTGTAAACGAGATATTGCGGTGCATTTTGCGCGCGCGATGCGGCGCCAATCGCGGCGTGCGATCGTCTCTCTCCTCCCGCTGAATCCCGTCGAAACGATAATTCTTATTCCCCCGTGGAAGATGACCGGAAGACCAGAACAAAACGAAACCTCGTTGAATTTCTCATCGGGAGAGGTTCCGAGGCGCGTGTGTGCACACGCTCTGCACGTTCGCGAGGCAGAAACCCGAAACCGTCGATCGATCCACGACTCGTCCCGATACCTTGTTTAGAGTTTCCAGCGCAGCAGTAATTACTGACGGGATCGCGAAACCGGGCGAGAGGTGGCTTCTTCCACGAGCCCACATCGAACTCTTGTTCGATGCTGTTCAGGGCCGTGAGACGAAACTATCTTGAAACGTTCGAGCACCCTGCAAATAAAATCTGGCACTTCAAGAAAACAAGTGATACATATAAATAAAATTCAATGCGAAAAAATATTTAATCAGATTAAATACTAAATCTAATTTTATTTATAAAAATTTTAGATTTCAAATTTGTCTGAACAAACTCAGTCAATTTTAAACCAATTTAATCGAATTTTATACTTAAATCCCGCGTACGTATGAGAACAATAAAACGAAAAGTGTGGGAAATTATTTAATAATATATCTGTAACAAGAGAAAGAGAGCGACCCGTTCGTATCGCGGCCTATTTCGTCCGTACGGTTAAGGTATCCCTGATGTCGGCAGGCAAGGAGATTAGGGGGCTTGAAGCAAGCCAACCAACGGGCTTTCGGCAAGATCAATCGCCGCGAAAGGTTTTTCGCTTCTCGCGATTCTCCTTTTCTTTTTCTTTCCTTTTTCAGTTTCGCTCATCTCTTCTCTGCCTCGTTTCGGTCTACCTGGAACTTTATATATGCGCGCGAATCCGCAGGCTGCGTCAAAGCCACGCGCGTTAGCCGACAAACCGACTTGTTGTGGCTCGTTTCATCTTGATACTTTGTGTTCCAACAGCAAACCGCAACGACGAGTCAATTAAGGGTCCTCGATACCTACGTCAAATACGTCGGGATACGACGTCAGAGAATCGAGGAAGATGCAAGAAAACGAATAATTCCCTCTCTTCACGCAGTCTATTCACCTCGAAAAATTAATGAACCCTTCACGCTCACACAAAACCGCCCACAAAAATGCAGCGAAATAAGAACAATATGCCAACTCTTGAATTCACTTCATCGAAATCGTGAGAATAGTTGGACTGACTCAAGGCCATCGAAATAAATTTCTAGAGTTCTCCATTAACCTTTAAAACAATGCTATATCAAGTATATTTGTTTTTAACTTTAATGAAACTCTAATTATCTACTTTCGTTTAATGTAGTAACAGAATTTTTTTTCTATCTTGCAATGGAATAGCATTTTGATTGTATAAAGTCGAATCAGGAAAAAAATGATCTTTTTTGTATCACACAATTTCAATCAAACTTATAACGAGTTTGATACGGATTCACGCGAAATCCTTTGTACGCCCCAGTGAAGCAGTTTTCAATTAATAAAAGTTAACGTTTACGTCTATCGGATTTTTAAAAATTCAAATTGAATAACACTTAAAATATTTTTATATATATTAGATATTTTGAGATTTTGCAAATATAGACATTTCAGTGTTACACGAAAAGTGAAGTTATAAGAATTAGCTATATACACACGGCTAGGTTTGGTTAGGAAAAAATATAAGCATATAATCACGGCGGGAATCGCAATATTTCGTATTAGGAAAGTGTCCGGTGATGGAAAGGGATTCGGAATCGATGTGTTAGTGTTGCCGTTAAACGCGACGAAAATCGGTGATCTTGCAACAAAGTGTTAATCGCAGCCACGAATGTGGCCTCTCGCAAAAGTTAACGACGTCGCTGTGGTGGGAGTTAATTGGAATTCGAAGAGGCTCATGCGGCGTCGGAGACACGCAACCTCGCGCGAAACGTTAACGCACAAAATCGCGCGCGGGATGCCCGGGCGTTCGCACGCGAATCCGCGCGGTCTCTCTCGCCTTCGAAACTTTCTTCCCGTACGTCTTTCACACGCTCCTGGGCTCCCATCGCCGTTTCTTCTTTCCGTGTCTCTGCCTTCCGTGTCTCTCCCGCGAGCAACAAACGAAAACAACGCGCGTGATCGACGTCCCATCGGCCGGGCAGAGAGGATGCGGAGGAAGGAGGAAGAAAACGAAAGAGTAAAAACCGACCCCCCTGAAGGCACGTGTTGCTCTCCTCCGGAGTTCCCTGCTCTTTTCTCCCTACTTCGTCTTCCCTATTTCCGTTCGCCACCCCGTCGTTTCAGGAGGGAAGAGAGTTTCGCGGGGATCATCTACAATTTAAATACATAGATGCTCCACACGAGCATTCGCGTATACCCGCGCGCAAACTTCTTCATATCTTCTCTTCCTCTTCCTCTTTTCCTGGGCTCTGCCTCCTGCCTCGTTTATGCGCACGTAAAATTCAATGCAAATTTATTCATGCGTCGTCTATTAGACCGGTGCAAGATTCCCCCGTGTAGTTTCTACCCAGCGCGCGCAGAAATATCTCTTCCGATATTATTAGAAAATCTTGACTCTCTCCGCGGCTTTTGTTAGGCCGATATAAATCGCTTATCCGCATGCAATAAGTTAATGCTTATCGGCGAGCTGAGCAACTGGATACATAGCAGGCAAAGTATAAAGATGGCGAAATATTATTTAAATAATATCAGAAACATTTTTTTAAGTAGGTAATTTGAATAGTGGGGTAATTTGGAAGAATAGTATAAGCATTGGAAGAATTTCAGAAAAATAAGAGATTTTAGGATACATTACATTATATCGGACATTGATATAATGAAATGTGTCTTAAAATACATTATTTTTCTGAAATTCTTGCAAATACTTACTATTATCAAAATTACCCCATTATTCAAATTATCCCGCTGTACTCTAGTTATTTTCAAACAAATATTTATTCTTTATGAGTAGTAGACTAGTCTTATTTTACGTTTTATGTTTTATACAATTATTTCTTAAGAAATGAATGAAATTGAAATGAGACAGGAAATGGGACATGAAATTGCTTTCCAGTGATGTACAGAAAAAAAAAACAGCGTATATATGCTTATATATATATTGTAATGACTTTCTTTGGTTCACGCTCAATCGATCGACCCGTTTCTATTATAGGAAAATAACACTGTCCGTCAGTAGAAATGATAAGTCGGTCAGCTATACGCGAATTACGCTCGATAAATAAGTTATTTACAATCTGATAATTCATAACTTGTTGTATTAACGTAAATTTTGTGATTGATCGATTAAGGATTTGAATTTGAAGAGGACAGCATACAAGGCAGCAAAAGTAAATGTATAATATTCTAAGTAAACACTTATAAATCACGCTATCGATGAATAACTTATTTAATCTGTGATAATTCATAACTTGCTGTATTAAAATAAATTTTATGATTGATCGAGTACGGTTTCAATTTGAAGAAGGCAGCATACAAGTCGGCAAAAGTAAATATATAATATTCTAACAATAAGTAAGCACTTATAAATCATATACTACCTATACACGAGAAAAAGTTATATAATGTAAATGATTTACGTATGATTAATTATTCCGTGATATTACGTAGCCCCGGAGATGTACGATATGATATTACTGGATATCCCCGTTAATCTTCTCATCGAGAGATAAATTTCGTTATCGAGATACTCGCTTTCAAATGAAGTATTTAAAAGCAAATTTGTAATTTTTTATTCGCGATTTTACGCGATATGTTTACGACCGCTGCGCCGCTGTCACGTTTGCACGCCATTTCTGCTATCGCCGAAGAAATCTCTCGCAGCCCGCGTGGTCCGCACATTAAAATTCGCCACGCATTAAAGACGTCACGTCGCGAAATACTTTTCTCATTACGCGCGTACGAAATTTGTCTTCCGTATAGTTCTCTCTCCGACGGATCATATTTCGAGAAAACAACATGAGCAATAGGATCCTGTTGTTGCTGGTCGTACGGAGTCGAAGGTCGATCTTAATGAGGACCCGTGGCCGTAGTGCACGTAAAAGTGATATACAGCCAGGAGGAATTGCTTTTAATTGCTCTTCGGCGGCGGTTGCCGCGCCGCCGTCTCCTTCCTCTACTTCTTCGGATTTTATTTTCGATCCTCCTCTCTGTCCGCTTCGCTCGCGCCAATTAAATTCTCATCGAAATTCATCTCCGCGGCATATAAAGATCGTTTTCCGCATTTGTATACAGAATGTTTTTGCGACTGTTCATATTGAATAAATTCGGAATCGATTTTTCTTTATCTCAGATTTTTGTCAACAATAATAATAATAATGAGTAAGTTATCATTCAGTCGTAAGAGTGTTAAATTGTTTCAACGTTAACCGTTTTTATCATTAGATATAATAATAACGATTTTGATAAGATAAACTTGTTGATTTCAAATTAATTATACAAAAGAATAATTTCGTTGTACGTATCCGTTTTTTGTGACTGATATTAATAACCGTGTACAGCGCTTAATTAGAGTTGAGCACGTTAATGAACACTGTACGTTCATTCCCGCAACCGAATATCTTATCATACATATCGATTTTCCTCGTGAATATTTCAGCGCCAACGGCGTGTATACCTTTCTTCCATCGACGTAAATCGAAGTTGCAGTAGCCATTCATTATTATATACGCTGGAATTGTTCATTGTTTTTTTTACTTTCTTTTTTTGTAAGAGACGCTCTTATGTTTTACATTCTGCGTTTATATTTAAATTTATTCAGGAAGTATTAAATTTATCAGAACGACATTTATACTTTTCTGCTTATTTATTAAGATTCATTAAAAATTCACAGACTTTGTATGTTTCGCAAGAAGGTCGTATAGAGAAATATTAATGAGAGAAAAGACTCAGACAATTCTGACATATCTCTTGAAATAATCTCGCTTCTTCAACAAGCACCGGTGTTACAAAATATATATCCTCCCATCGTACGGCCACGCAATAGAGATGCATTCGCTATACGATCTTCCGCTTCCCTCTATAGTTACAACAAAGTCTCTCCGCGTGAGTCGCGGATTTTTTCGCGTTTTCTTATGCCTCCCCCTCTCCCCATTGCTTTTTTTTCTCGATTTGAATCGACGGGACACGAGCGTGTCAATCGATTACCGTACTCGCAACGGTGACTATGCAGGTGTCGTGATTGATCAAAGCTGCGCAGGATGCATCGGTCGGTCGCAAGAAGTTCGCAACGAGCGGCACTGTTGCACCCTCGTGGTGTTAATATTTTTATATTATCGCGTTCAATTGCCTGTCGACGGATATGTCGGGCTTCTTTCTACAGCGGAATCGCTCCTTAGGATTCCTTAAAAATGGAAGTATACGCGCGGGCTCTTTAATAATAACTGTACGTTACAGAGAGCTGTAATTTTGCGCGGTGTTTTATTTGCTCCTATTTTCCAACAATGCCATTTTAGAGTATCGTGAGATAATATCACGCCCCATTTCACATTAGCGATGAAGAATTTGCGTAACAGTGTGCTTTCTACTAGATTTCCGTAATGAAAGAGTTACATAAAAATAGAACACAGGAAAAAATCTAAAAAAATTTTCATGATGTTTTCTGAGTATTAATTTTTAGAACAGATATATGTATATTTTATAACAAAATATCGCGTTAGCTAATTCTTATATTTTTCAAAATTTAGTTGAAAACACAAATGATATCACGTTATTTAAATTTTAGTCAGCGTACTTCATACCGCATTAAAATCGAGAGGACTTGTTTCGTCGGTATTGATTCCCGTTGCGTTTGGCACGATTTTATGGCGAAAGTAGAAATTTGCGCGAAAGAGAAAGAGAACTCGCCCGGCTCTGGAAAACTTCCATTTGCCCTGGGGATAGAAAACTCCGACAAGCACATAATGACGATCCTACTGTGAGAAACACAGCGATGAGCTGCGACAGACAAAAGAGGAAAGTGGGAGAAGAGGTTTACGAAAAGGATACGGGGGAGAGAGAGAGAGAGAGATTCGCGATTATTGGAAATGCGGGGGCGAGCGAAAAGTTTCAACGACCTAGAGAATGCATCTGAAAAATGGCGATATGGAATGGAGTGACGATATTCAATACTTCTTTGACATTTAGCTAACGTGATATTTTTCTATAAAATAGGTATATATCTGTTTTATATACACACACATATACATATAAAATTTGTGTGTATGCGCACGCATGTGTGTGTGTGAGAAAGAGAGAGAGAGAGAAAGAGAAGAAGAAGAAGAAGAAGAAGGGACTTAAAGAAGAATTTTATCTTCGATATTTGAACGGTCCGCAGTCTGGGAGGTAGAATACTGACGAACGTGGGAGTTTCGAAGAAACATCCCGAAGAGGGATACACCGTTTCGATATCCAAGAGGCGAGCGCGAAGAAAGTTTGGAGTGGCGATGGGTAAAACGTTATGCATTAAAGATTTCTTTGCCATTGGGAGAGGGAAGAAGATGGGCAAGTTGGCGCGTGACATCCCCACGAGAGAAAAGTCGTTCTTA